GCAGAGGTTTGATAGGTTGGAGTCTTTAAAGGACGAATTCTCACTTAAAGATGACAATGGAGTGAATGCCAAGAGTAGAGGAGAAGGAAGAAGGAGTAACGGAGGGGCAGCGGATGAGGAGGGATGGAAAATGAAGAAGAAGGGGAGCGGAGGTTGGATCTGAGGGAAGAAGAGGAAGGAGGCAAAGAGGAGAACCAAGAGCACGCTAGGGCTTTCAATCAACCAAGATATAAAATATCATGTAAAATATTATATTTGACGGTTGCTTATAAAAAACAATCAAATACTCCTTAATCTACTTGACAGTTCTCAGAACAAAACCGTCAAGTAAATTTCCATTTTTTAAAAGATAAAAAAATAAATATGTTATTTGACGGCTCTTATATTTAATTATCAAATGTTTTTTGTAATATATTTCACGGTTAGTATAATAACTGTCAAATATTTGTTTTTCAAAACTCTGTATTCCCTTATTTGATTTTTATCTTTTTAACCATTGAATATTGAGCGTCAAATATTCCTAATTTTGTAGTAGTGTTTAATATTTATTAGATGAGAATGAATTTGCATAATTGAAATCTAGAAATATGTGGCCTTGGTACCCTGAATTTGGATTTTTTTTAATGAATTGTATTGCTTACTCACGCCAGCTATGGCATTGCATTGATTAAGTAAGGACTAGCCTACAAATATCTTTCTTGATTCACTCAGTGATGCGTAATAATGATGTTAATTAGATAATGGTTGTTGGTTAGGGTGATAGGAGCAATTACGATCTGTTGACACTAAATTCGAATTTCGTATGTGATGTATATCTCTATTTTAAGATAGTTTTCTATGCTTAATCTTTTTTTTTTTTGGTGTACAATGGGGCAAACGCCCAAATCAAACACTATCAGTAACTAATCTTGGGTGGCAAGCACCCATAGCATCTCTATACAGCAAGTCGAGTAAACCAGTTGGTGGCTCACGTAACAGCAGTAGACCAGGATTCTTTGACAGACTCCAGTTGGCTAACCAATCTGCGTAAAAATTCCCCTCCCTATACGTATGCACAACCTTAACTTCCCAATCATCAGATATCAATCTACTAATCTGTACCATAAATCTGTTATTAGTCCTTTTCTGTACAAGGAATTCATTCAGTATTGCGACTACAGTGCAAGAGTCAGATTCAACAATTGCTCTTCTGTACCCTCTCTCCTGTAGCAGTTTAAATCCAGACCACACACCCCAAAACTTTGCTCTCATCGCAGAACAGATTCCTATGTTATTCATAAAGCCTCCAAGCCAGTCACCATTCCCATTCCTAATCAGTCCACCGCATCCAGCTCCCCCAGTCTGCCCCTTTGCAGCGCCATCAATATTAAGCTTCACCCACCCATTTTCGGGTGTCTTCCACCCATACATTCTCCATACTTTCCTATTCCCATCCATGAATTCATTACGACTATCCTCCACTTGCTGCACATACCTCCATATAGCATTAATACTTATATTCCTATCATCGAACTCTTCAAAGAAAAGGGCCTGATTTCTCCAAATCCAAAGAAACCAGCAGGTGATTCCAAAAACAAGACACCATTCCCCCACGTTATTCACATGTCTTTTGATCTTTAGATTATTTACAAACCAGTCTTTATGCTGTAAAATAAAGAAGTCATCAACAAAGTTACCTACTTGCAATTGCTGCCAAATAGCTTTAGAGATCACACAATCCCTTAAAGCATGCAAAACTGTCTCTCTTTCCCTCCCACACCTGCAACACAGAGCAGATCCAATCCCAGCTTTGTTTCTCCTCTCAGATGTTAACAAACCATCCAATGTAGCCATCCATATAAAAATCTGGATTCTTCTCGGTCCTCCCCAACTCCAAATCAACCGCCATGAGCCATCCTCAGTTCCCTTATCATACCCACATAACTGCTTATACATTTCTGCTACACTGAACTGTTTTCCTTTTCCCCCCATCCATACTACCTTGTCCCCTCCATCCTCCGCACATGGGGGTAATACAGCCAAAATTCTACTCACTACATCTGCAGGTAGGAGCCTCTCGAATAGTTCTTTATTCCAGTTACCATTCATCACAAAGTCATTAACTCGCATCTCCAGGTCTTCTTGTGGTGGTCTACTAGTACACCGATCTGACAAAGGAGCCTCCTTATCCACCCACTTGTCAACCCAAAAACGAGTTTTCCTTCCATCACACACGTCCCACCCTACATTTTTTACTATCTCAGGCTAGAGCGCCCCCAACTTCTTCCACAAAGCAGAATCTGTACTCTTGACAATGCATTCCACAGTTAGATTCGCATTTCTGCCATACCTACTATACAAAACCTTGGCGTTTAATTTCTCAGGATTAGCTATAAGGTCCCACCCAGTCTTACACAGTAGCGCTTCATTCATCTTTCGTAAATCCTTCAATCCAAACCCTCCTTCATTCTTCGGCAGACAAAAAGTCCCCCAGTTCACCGTATGCATCTTCCTCCTTTCTCTCATGTCTCCCCACACAAACTGCCTCTGAATTTTCTCCAACTCCTTACATACCCCAACTGGGATTTCCTCATGAAGCATACTGAAAACTGGAATTTGTTGAGTGACCGATTGCACTAAGGTAAGTCTTCCTACAAACGACAAGCTATTTGCTTTCCATCCACTTAACTTCTTTTGCACTTTATCTATAAGAAACTGAAATTTACTTCTCGTCCTGCGCCCCTGGTGAATATGGGAGCCCAGATATCTTCCCAACTCCTCCATCTCTTGAAACCCACATTGCTCCACAAGCTTCTTTCGCACATCTTCCTTCACATTCTTAGAAAACATGATCATTGTTTTTTGAGCATTTATCTTCTGCCCTGACATACTTTCGAATTCCTCCAAACACTCCATAACCACCCCAAGCTGCTGTTCAGAGGCTTCACATAGTAATAGAAGATCATCAGCGAATAGAAGGTGCGAGATTGGCACCCCATTCCTCCCCATCCTCATAGGTTTCCACCTGCCCTTCTGCACCTCATCCAGAATTAGATGAGTTAACTTCTCCATTCCTAATACAAACAAATATGGTGAAAGGGGATCCCCCTGCCTCACTCCTCTAGAAGGCACAAACGCCTCAGAAGCAACCCCATTCCACAAAACTTTCATAGTAGTCGATTCAAAACAGCCAGCCGCCACTTCCACAAATTTACTTGGCAATCCCATTTCTTCCAATACTTTTCTCAAAAAGCCCCAGCTCATCCTATCATATGCTTTTTCAAGGTCAATCTTTATCGCCATATACTTCTTTCCACCACTTAATCTTCCCATAAAGTGTGAAACTTCCCTAGCTACCACAATGCTTTCCTGAATACATCTCCCTGGCACAAAACTTGTTTGGAATGGAGAAATGAATCTGGTCAAGTAAGGCTTCAACCGATTCACCAGCACCTTTGAGAGCACTTTGTATATCACGTTGCATAAGGAAATAGGACGAAGGTTTGCCACTGTTTCTACTCTGTCACTCTTGGGGATCAGCACAATCAATGTGTTGTTCACCTCTCCAATTTTCCTCGGTTCCTGCCAGAGTTTTTTAACGAGTTTGACTACATCTTCCCCCACAATGTCCCAGTTTTTATGGAAGAAGACCGCTGGGAATCCATCCTCACCAGGCGCCTTGAAAGCCCCAATGCCAAACATCGCTTGCATCACTTCGTCCCCTGTTATCTCGCTACCCAATCTTCTTACCTTCTCACCGCCTAATTCAGCCCATATGTGGTCTGTTCTGTGCCATTTTCTCCTTTTATCCTCCTCCTTAAACAGTGAAGTGTAAAAGTCCCTGACAAGCTTAACTAGTTCGCCTTCCTCTTCAATCCATAACCCCTCCTCATTCTTAAGCATATGAACCTTGCCTCTACGCCTTCTGTTCATGGTTTTTAACTGGTAATACCTCATATTACGATCACCATTCTTTAACCATTCACCTCGTGACTTTTGGTACCAATGGAGCTCCTCCTGCCTCAATACCTCCAATAGCTCGCTAGCGAGATCACATTCCAAACTTTCCAAGAACTTGTTCTTACCTCCATTCAACTTTCGTTGAATCCCCTCTATTCTTGCTGTTAGAGCCTTTATCCTCCAAGCAATATGTCCAAAGACCTCCCTATTCCACCACTGCAGAGGCTTCTTAATGGTCTCCAAATTTTCCTGAACTTCTGTCTCCTCCCTCCATTCCTCCTTCAAAAATTCCTTAAATCCATGATGAGTTAGCCACATTGCCTCAAATCTGAATGGCCTTCTATAAGGGAGATTAGAAGACACATTCAGTTCAAACAGGATCGGGTGATGATCAGAGTGCACTCGAGCTAGAACTCTTGTTGCCATATTCGGAAAACGCTCCTGCCACGCTATATTACACAATCCCCTATCAAGCCTCTTAAAAACTCTGTCTCTTCCTTGCCACTTAGGACCCCTCCATGTATAAAGGGGCCCCTTAGTTTCAATATCAATCAACCCACAATCTTGTATCCAATTTCGAAAGGTATTGCATCTTGTCACATTAGCCTCTGCGCCACCTTTTTGCTCCAGCGGAGAAGTTATCTCGTTAAAATCTCCGCACAGCAGCCAAGGCTCCCTAATTTCTCTTGAAAATCGTACCAGCCTCCCCCACAACGCATCCCAGTTACTCCCCTGAGGGTTGGCATATACAGCTGTGCATGTCTAGGCCCCATTCTCATCACTAAAGCTCGCATGAATAAATTGGTCAGTTTTTTCAATGACACGCACTGACCACTTCTCATCTTTCCAGCACACCCAAATGCCTCCTGCGAATCCTCTTGCTTCCACCTTAACTGAATACTTGAACCCAAGTTCCTTTATTACCTTATCTGCCCTCCCCCCACTTATTCTGGGTTCAAGCAGAATAGTAAAACTTGGCTTCCTCATCCTTAACATATTTTTACAAGCTAAGGCAAACTGCTTGCTTGCAGCGCCTCTACAATTCCACATCAGTAAAGACATTAATAACTAGCAGATACGTCCTTCCCCACTATGGCTCCCTGGCCATCCAGTCGTACTCCCATGTCATTTACTGATTGCATCTCATTTTCTACCATATCACTCCATTTCCTCCTCTGCTCTCCATCCCCATCAGGGTCAAATTGATTCATCAGTCCCTCACACCCATTGCGCCCTCTAGAAAGCACAATCTGACCCCCTGTGTTCTCCTCTTCCACTCCCCATTCTTCATATACCTCCACCACTTCGTCGGTCTCCATGCAATCTTTCTGAAGGCTCATCTCCTCACCTACTCTTTTCTGAGCCGCAAAGAAATCCCCTCCTTCACTCCTATCTTGCATTTTGTTTACCTTCCTAACCTCTGTTTTGCTCTTCCCGTAAGAACTTGCTTCAGCCCTCACCGTGCGCATGTTAGTAATATCCTTCAAAGCCTTCTTCCCTACCGTTCTTTTTTTGGTCCTCCTACCTTCCTCCATGCCACCAGTGCCTGTATTAATTCCACCCCTCACATTCTGCATATCCCTCTCCCTTTGTTCCACCTCCAACCCGTTTTGCCGTAAAATTTCAAAACGTGATGGAGCGCCAACCATGTCTGTCATACTCCTAGGCCTCCTACCTCGTCTATTCCTCTGCACCACTCTCCATAGTCCCCCTCCGTTGGTATCCTCTAACTCCTTAGCCACATTGTTTCCACTTCGCATCGTAGTATCCCCTCCTGTTTCACTGCTTGTCTCCTTTTCCTGCCCCTGCTCCACCTCCTTCTTACAATCCTCCCTCACATCCCCATAAGTTCCACATGCTAAGCACAGTAGGTTCATGCTTTCATACTCGATTGGATAGCACCTTCCATCAATAGCATAATGAGGCAGAAGCGGTTTCTTTAAATCCACCTCAACACATGCACGCGCAAAGCGGCCTCTCTTCCTCCTTGCTGTCGGTCCATCAACCTTTATAACTCTCCCGATCTCACTACCAATAGCATAAAGAATTTTCTTATCATATAGATCTATAGAAATAACTGGCAATCTTACCCACACTGCAACCTTGTCAATCACTTCAGACATAGGATTGAAAGTAGGTTTCCATCGCATAACCACTAGGTATGAGTCCATCACGATCCATAGACCACCAGTTAATGCCAGCTCGTAGTCTTCCTTGCTCTGGAACTCAACCAAAAAATAGTCCATATCGATGTCGACTACATCCACCTTCCCTGCCTTACTCCACATTTGCACAATCCTTGGCCCCAAGCTTCGGAGACTAACCGATTTACCAAGCAGCTTCACGATTAGCGTCGCTTGAAACGGCTGAGCCAGTCGCTCCCTCTCCTGTTTCTCCAATATGATATTAGGGCACAAAGGATCTGAACGATCAACAAGATATCCACCCCTAGCATCCTCCATAGACTCAAATCCTGTATCCACTGCAGAGAGCTCATCCAAACACCACTGCGACCCATTCTTCTCATGATTCATTAATAAATCACGGTAAGACTTCACACCTGAACCTCCACTTTCCCCCAAATCCTCCATCCACTTCTCCATTCTTGGCTTTAATGAAATCTCTCCAGTAAAAGTTCCATCCCCCCTTCGAACCTTTCGTTTGCTCCGATTGAGCGCATCCACTTCCTCCGCTGTGAGCTCCCCCCGATCGCCTCTTTCGCCGCCCTCAGTTGAGAGCATTTTCGCAGTTGGAGGAATAAAAACACATCTAAATTTTATTTCTATGCTTAATCTTTAATGTTTAGCATGAATACTAAGTTAAAATGTACTAATTAGGCTTAAAGACTAATGGTTGGGAATTTATGTAATTTTTTATGAAATTAACCATTCTTTTTTTTCATCTCCCTAAGTGTTTTTATCCTGTGATTTTGTGATACTCCTTCGGTCTTTAATATAAGATCTATTTATCTAATTTGATTAGATTAAATAAGTTAAGTTAGTTAATTATTAAAAAAATATGATATGTTTTTTCTATAACACCATAATCATTCTCTTTAATATCATCCTTCCCTTTCCTACTTGATTATGGTTAAGAGAGTATCAATAAAGATAATTTAGAAAAAATTGATAAATATGAGAAATAAATCTTATATTAAAACTAAGATCAACTCAACAATTAGGTCATACATTGAGGACAGAAAGAGTATTACATTTGGATGGGTTATTTTGCAGGCAAACACCTAGCAAAATCACCAAATGGTTTGTTAAAACAATCTTGGGTCCAAGAGGAAAATCAATTCCGTTCAGTTGCAATTCCTTTCCACTATCATCTTAATTATTTCAGCAACCAAATAACCCCTTAACCATAATCCTCTCTTTCTGCCCTCGCCCTCTGGGTGGCTCACAGTCTGTCTCTTTGACTCCCAGAGAAGTGTTAACGTGTTGGATCTAAAAGCTACAAAAGGGAGTTTATTTGTCATTTTCGTCTAGTTTCATATTTGCGATTCTAAGTAGCCTAGGTTTAATGCCTCATTTGGCACGGTGAAAGAGTTCTAAATGGAACTAGGTGTTAAAAGTTTGCTTGGCATACATATGAAACTGGAACATAATTTTGTCTTGATATGCTTATTTATAATTTAAATACACTTTTGTACCCTTCCACTAAAAAGCCCTAACCACCACCCAAAGTCATGGCAATCGCATAAACAACCTGCTGCCAGCAGTGAAGTAACCATTATCATCATTCATCAGTAATAACTCAAAGAAAGAAATAAAGAAGAAGACACAACTATTATCCCTTTTTGTATAAAGAGAACTAGAAGCAGAAATTTCTCATCTAAATCAAAGAAGTGAATGGAATAACAGAAAAGGTCGACGGAAGTCAACGACAACAAGATTGACATAAGTCAATGGCAAAAGAGGCTAATGGAAGTTGACAACGACAATGATGGACCAAAATCTAAAATGAAAACAACACTCGCCTAGGTCTGAAGTAGACAGCTACCTCACTAGTGCTTATCTGTTGTCATTGGTACTGTTCCATGCAGGCAGGATGGAACCCATCTCCATCATTTTTGGTGGAAATGAGCTCATCGGGAACCGAATTCCTAGCTACCAAACATCCTAAATACATAGCCTTGGTTTCATTGTACCAAATAGGGCATAAGAATTTGGACATTGGATTCTGGATTTCGTATGTACATTTCATTGAAAGAGCTTGATTTGAGAAAGATAATTTCAGTTGCGATTAGTTGTAATTGTGGATGCTTTACTCGATTGAAACATTTTGCTCTCTGATCTCAATTTTCAAGATTAATTTGATTGCATTTGCTTATTAGACATGATAATGCATTGTGAATATAATTGAGTTGAGGTAACTTGGAGATTAATGATTACTACACTTTAGAAAATAATAACTTCAATTGTATAATATGATAACAAAACCTTAACATTTAAGTGATTACTGTTAGTCTGAAAAGTTAAGTTGGGTTTTATGCGTCTGGGGTCATTTAGAGATCAATGACTCTTTCACTTTGAATAATAACAACTTTAATTATATGAAACGGAAATAAAACTTTCATTAGTAGCATATAACTACATTTATGGGAGAAAAATATGATTAAAGTTATTATGGCTTAAGGTTTTTTTTTGTGAAATTTATTGTTAAATTGTGTATTTTTTTGGGAAGGCATAATTGTCCTCCTATTTGAGGTAATCCTATTCGAGATACTATCGGATACTAAATCAAAATTATTGTTTCTTAAAGTGGACTTCAAAATACCAACTAGTTGCCTGTAATGAATGGGCTAGATTGTAAAATTGGCCGAGACTGAGTCAAAGATTAATGGGCCACATGTTGTTTACGAGTTCATAACCGTTGGATCGTGCTGCAATTTGGTCAGCTGGCCTTGGATTTCATACTCGTCAATTTCAACAGTTAGATCATCAATTCAATCTATAAGTTATAATTTATTAGGTATATTTTTAATTTATTTTTTTAGATTTGGTAGATAGAATACTAAATAGTAAATTAGTATTTTTAAATTCATTAACTGTTAGATTAACTCAAAATTTAGAGAGTAGACTTGTGACATATAAGAGATTAAATTCAATGTTTGGATTAATAATTAGACTTCTATAATAAGAATAAATTAACTCATATTGAGGCTGTTTATCTAAATTCTTCAAAGATAGAACATAAGCTATAAATTGAAGGTTCTCTATCTAGGTTATGAATTTGGTGATTCTAATGATATAATTTAATGATTAAAGATAATATAAGTTAAGTGAACCTAGGAATTGAATTTAAATCCTCATATATATGTTTTTACCTTGAACCTTAGAAAAAGCTTTTCGAGGTAGGATTTTGAGTAACAGTTGAAGGTTTTAGAGGGAGACTTAAAGGCGAAAAATTTGTGAGTAGTTTACTCTAATATTGTAGAGATAATATTTTAATTTCATTTGTAGATATAAATACTATTATGGTATTTTTGAGTACGGGTCTCGTTTGTATTTGACTGTTAGCTAGGAGTTTAGGTAACTAAATTTCTATATGTTGCATGCTCTGGTATGAAGTTGATGAGTGATTTTATAACCAATTTTTGTATACGTATATTATGTTTTGTATGAACTGTCTTGTAGGATGCTATTTTGAAAAGGGTTGAAATCGTTTGTGTTAATAGAAATTAATGATTATGACTATAATGTATTATTTTGAAAATTGGTTAATTATGCATATAAAATGTGTTGTCGTAAACCCTGTGCATTTAGTTTGGATGGGGGAAGGAGATGATTGGAATTACCAAGATTTATATACTTGCCACATGGCATTGGCCTCCATACGAAGCTCTATGGTTGGCCATTATCATTGTCCTACTAGTTTTTCAAGGGACTGCAACAACTTACTAGTTCTTTAAAGGGGGACCCATGGTCCACCAAGTGCTCTGTGTTCTTTGGCCAGTCTATATCACTCATGTGGTGAGCTTGTCAGAATAGCCAGTCAAATGGAAAGAATTTAGCCCATAAGTCCAGTTGGCGGAAATAGGGAGGATATAAGAATGGATTTGGGTTCATGAGTTGCATATGACATGGTATCTTATGTCCAGTTGGAACTTTGTTCTCTTTTTTCCATGGCTAAAACTATTTACCATTTCAACCAACAATTTGTTGATTACTAATTCAATCTTTAAATTAAGTAAGATAAGATGTTAGTGTTTTCACTCCAGAAAAGTAATATTCCAAAAATTCATAAATGATTATCCTTGAAACTATCTATTTACGATCGAATTTTCAATGTAACTATCAAGTATTAATGAGTACTTGATTTACATTGATGAATCAATTTCAATAATAAAATTTATAACGAATTATATTATTTATAAATTTTAAATAATGCGACTCATTTCTTAAACTCCTTATAATACATAAGAAAATATTGGCCCTATGGCGAATGCTTTTCTAACAAACTTTTTCCTTACGCCTCACTCTTTTTTTGATATACTTCCTTACCCCTCACTCTAGTCAATATCATTATACATTACTTAATTTTCTTTCCTTTCTTTTGAATATTTTACGAAGTGAGATCACATAAGTGTGCTTAATGAGCTGTAAAGGCCAATTCTCAATATATTTAAGCTTTTTTTTTCCCCTAAAGTCTATTAATACTACGATATATAGAGATGTCTGATACAAATAAAGAAACTTCTTATAAGTATGTGATAAAAGATTAAGAAACATGTTTTTTTAATTCCCGTTTTCCAATGAAAGCAATCTAGTTTGGAAAATAAAGATCTAAATGTCTAAAGGATGAAGAAATAACTGTGAGAAAGGACAGGTTTGAATAAAATGTAGCCGATTCTTGAAGCACATATTACCCCACCTTATCTTCAAAGAAGATTCTCTTCTGTGTGTTCGCGCGCGTGTCACAATTACAAAACAAAAAATTGCAAGAAACAAAATTTGAACATAAATGTCCAATAATGGTGGTTATAAATTAAACCTTCAAGTGATAAAAACAAACGAGGTAAAGATAATTCTGGGATGTTGATAGAAACGGAATCATCAAGAAATGGGCTGTCATAGTTCTTGACTTTGTGCGCCTCCCACTAAGCACATTATTACATATCCATTATTAAGCAACTTTACAGTTCGACAATGATGAGGACTTTTCCTGTCAGATAGCTCTCCACTTTTGGAATAGCCACACTTCATTAAAATAAAGGAAGGAAGGAAGGAGAGAAGAAGCTAGTCATAACCCCCCCCCCTCGATAATTAAAGTATGCATAACTTTAGTTAAAGAGAAGAAGTGACTAAATCGATTGACCTTATTTGTTGACCATGTATAAATTAAAGGGCACAAGAATAATATCGTCACAAATATTATAACAACAATAATAATAATATAACTGTGTTCATTCAATATCCCGTGCGAATTTTCTTGTTTCTTATTATCACTATATCAACCATTTGTGTGTAAGTGATAACTCTCCATTTTTAATATAGTTAAAGAATATTTTGAGTGATTTTTTGGAGAATTATTAATGCATTTTATAAGATTTCTAAGGGCTAATTGAAAATTTTGATTTTGAGTATTATTTGGGGGATTTTCTTGTAAATCTCTTAGTTTTAAATAAATAAAAATGATTAATATTAAGTTTAAGACTTAGTTGATTTTATCTTATCTTATTTTAATTTCGTTAGAGTTTATTCCTTTTTCTCTTATTTTCTTTTTCAGTTTTCCCCCCTTTTTATTTTGTTTTATTTTATTTTTTTCCCTCTTTTCTTTCAGCTTTCAGTGAACGCACCGTTTCGACTGATTTGTGGGGAAAGGGTACTGATTTGGGAGAGCGACGATCGTCTTGGGGTTCTGTTTGGAGGGGGGGGGGGAGCGCCGAAAACTGGGAGAATGACTTCGGATCATTCATCATCATAAGGAAGGCGCCGAAACAGGTGCAGGGAGGACTGTTCATCATCGTCAAAAATTTGGAAGGTCGCCGAACTGCTTCTGCTGGAGGCCGCCGACTGAGGAGAGAGATGAAGCGCCGAACTTGTTTTGACTTGTAAGAGCAGAGGGAGGCCGCTGACTTAGTTCTGTAGCTGGTTTTGGAGGAAGGCCGCCGACTGGTTCGAACAAAAGGTGATCTGGTTCTGGTTCTGTGACAGAGAGGGAGGGAGATTCATCTTGAAGCCGCGGAAACTGAAGAGAGGAGGCGCCGAACTGGTTCTGGACTAGAGGGACGCCGTCGTAGATATCAGGGCTGAGGAGGAAGAGTTCAACGACGGTCTTCACTCCAACGGCTGGACCAGAGCTGCGTTTTGTGCTTTCAGTTTTCTCATTCCTTTCTCCTTTAATTTCGATCATGAATTTTGAATCTGGAATTATTGTTGCTGAATTGGAATTGCAAGTCATGTGTAGCTAATTCTATTTTACAGCCTAGAGAAACTATGAACTTGTTAGTAGATTGAGTTTAATTTTACTGAATTGAGGATGCTTAATATTAAATTTTGGTTACCTAATCTTGTTCTTTATTATCCATTTGATGATTGGCCACCATTAATTGCGAATTTGAGAATTAAAGTTTTCCTTGACAAAAAAGATTTTAATTGGGCTCTTAGACTCAGTAATATATGATTGGATGATAATCTAATTTGTGATTAGGATAGAAATATACCTAGTTGCCCCATATAATTGTTGATGAGTGAGACCGAATTGTTTAGCCTCTTAGTTAATTGTGTGAGACATCGCATAATTAATTTAAGAGAGGGTTATAAGCAGACTGACAGTCACTTGTAGCTAATTGAACTCTAAATTAACAAAATTGACATTAAAGCCAATCAATTCAGTGAATTAAGGTTCAAGAAGCCAGGAAGGGATTTGTAACTCTAGGTTGTTCTTTTTAATATTTGTTCTAGTTAATTTTAGAAAGCTTGGTTTTATTTTGCTTAAGTTTCTTTTCACTCAATTTTATTAAATATTGATTTATTAAATCTTGATTTTCTCAACTTAAATGAAATAAGAATTTTTATTACCTAATCACTGTTAATTGAGTTCACTGTTAATCACTATTTAGGTACTGTCTATTTTTATGACATATACACTTGTGATGTCTCTTAATATTTGGTAGCATCAGTAATATTTTCAAAATTTTAAATTCTATTTAAAAAAAGAAAAAGCATGCAATAGATTAATCCATGGAAGTGATTTTACTTTCTAACTTTTGATTGAAGTAAAAGACATAAATCTAACATAAAATGATCATAGCCAGCCATGATGTGACGAGAGTTAAAACGATAATGCAGAAACCAAACATTCACTCCAATCTTGTACAAGCCCCAAACTGACCACACATATGATACAAAAATTACAAGCTTAAAATATTTACATTAAAATGTCAAGTGCAACACTTTATACTTTGCAAGCACACTTACAAATGAAGTTCAATCCCTCATTAGTTGCCTGATGGTGATGGTGTGAAATTGATCCTCTGAATAAGATTTTGGTGTCCTTGCTAGCTCCACAGATACTTGTTCCATGGTTGGACGAGATTGAGGAGTCTCATTCAAGCAACACAAAGCTATTTTTGCAACTAAGATCACATCATCTAGGATTGGTTTTGTGAGTGGAAAAAGTCGTTGGTCTAACACATCTTTTAACAATAAATCATTATTGGTTGAATTCTCCGCCAAAAATGAAATAAGTTCAGCAGGATGTGTACCCATAATGATTTCTAAAGTCAAAACTCCAAAGCTGTATACATCACATTTCTCATTGGCCTTCATTATGAAAGCAATCTCTGCAATAAGGTTAATGTTACCAATAATATATATCCACAGTACATCAAAAGATTAATGCTTTGAAAAGATTAGGAATAAAAAAAGTCTTACCTGGAGCAGCATAGCCAAATGTGCCAGCAAATGTGGTCATATTGTTTGAGTTAGGATCCAAAAATTTTGCTGTTCCGAAGTCAATGATGTGAGCTTCTTCATAGTTTGAACTTAAAAGAACATTCTTGCTTGATATGTCACGATGAACAATAGGAATTGAACAGCCATGATGCATGTGGAATAAAGCATTAGCCACGCCTTTAACAACATTCACCCTGTTATTCCAGTCAAACTCAGTGGCCTGCTTCTCATTCTTTAGTATGTTATCCAAGTTGCCACCTTCCAAGAACTCATAAACCAAAATGGAGAATTGTGAGTTGGAATAAAATCCATATAGCTTCACAATGTTGCGATGTTTGATTTCTGTCAAAGCTTGAATCTCACTTGTAAAAGCTTTGTGGTTGGTGATTTCCCCACTTGGCATTGAATGAAGCTTCTTTACAGCGACAACATCACCTGTAGGCAACTCAGCCCTATAAACACTTCCTTGGCCCCCTTTCCCAACAAGATATCTTTCATCAAATTCCTTTGTGGCTTCAATGATATCTTCATACAATATTTCTCTTTCAAGGCCCCATACAAAATAAACATCTTCAAGTGGAGCTTTCTCATCTTTGTTTTTAGCTTTTGTTGCCATTCGAGAACAAATAAAAGATGCTCCAACAATTACTAATAGCAGTATGGCTAATGGGAGTAGTATTATCAATAACTTTTTTCTCTTACTATATCCATTTTTTTGGAAATCGCCACAAGGACTTAAACCATCAGTGACATTACCACACAAACCTTTATTATTCCTCAATCCATCAAAGTTGTGAAAGGCTGGTCTATTTGGAACAGGGCCTTCTAACTGATTGTATGATATGTCAACTATAGATAAAGTTGACATTGGTCTATTGAAACCGGAAGGAAGGTGGCCAGTGAGATTATTATGCGAGACGTTCAATACTTGCAAGTTGGGTAACATTCCAAGCCTTGATGGTAATGTTCCAATCAGCAAATTGTCACTAAGATCAAGTTGTTCAAGGGCTTGGAGTTCACCAAACTCATAAGGAATGCTTTCATCAAATTTGTTTTTGCTCAAATTCAAGGCTCTTAAGCTTTTTAATTCCCCAAGCTCTCTTGTGATTGAGCCACTGAAATTATTTGCTGCCAACTCTAATTTTTGAAGTTGAGTAAGTGACCTTATATTTGAGGGGACATTACCAGACAAGTTATTGTGGCTCAATGAGAGTTCTTGCAACATGATCAACTTTTCTAGTTCTTTTGGGATTTGTCCAGACAGATGATTTGAAGACAAGTTAAGTAAACCAAGCTTAGTTGCCTCTCCAAGTTTTGGTGGTATATCACCAGAAAGGTTATTACTGTGAATAATCATTTGTGTGAGGCTTTGACACTCCCCCCACCTAGATGAAAGGTGTCCATACAATTGATTGCCACTAAGATCTATGTAGTACAAATTAGGATATACTCCAAAAGCATCTGTTATATTATCCACCATTTGGTTATTATCAAACCTGAGTCTTTGTAGACTCGAACAATCCTTCAAACTTGATGGAATAGGGCCACTAAAATGATTACCATTTACAGCGAGGGCAACTAACATCCTACTTTGACAAATTTTTTGTGGCAAAGGACCACTGAAATGATTATTAACCAGTTGTATGTTCCGACAACTTGTCAAGTTATTCATTTCTCGTGGAAGTTGACCACTAAAATTGTTGTCAGACATGAATAGGAGGTTAAGTTTTGTCATATTTCCTATAGTGGAAGGAATAAATCCTGAAAGACTATTGTTTCGAACGTGGAAATCATGTAAATTGATCAAGTTGCCGATGGATGAAGGAATTGAGCCAACAAATCTGTTATTAGAAAGGGACAAATATTTGAGATTTGTTAGGTTTCCTATCGAGGGAGAGATTGGCCCAGAAAATTTATTATAACGAAATCCAATGTCAACGAGAGAATTCAGTTTCCAGAATTCAGCAGGAATGGGACCTGTGAGATAGTTCTCATAAAGAAAAAGTATTTGCAACTTGGTCAAGTTTCCGATTGATGGTGGGATTCCCCCTAGCAAAGAGTTGCTATGCAAGCGAAGATCCAAAAGATTGCTCAACATTCCAATCTCTTCAGGAATGGGACCGGAAAGAGAATTTTCTCCAAGCCAGAGGAAATTCAAATTCCTCAAATTCCCAATTTCATGGGTAATTTGTCCTGTGAGATTACATGCACTAAGATCAAGATGATTTAGAGCGGTGAGATTCCAGATTTCAGGAGGGATGGGACCCCTAATTCGATTATCTGACAAACTCAACATCAAAATACGGGACAATTTACCAATTTGGTGGGGAATGTATCCATGAAATTGGTTGTAACGTATGTCGAAGCTGAGGAGACTAGGAAAGGCAGCAAAGTTTAGAGTGGAAAGTGTACCTTGAAGGCTAAGATTTGAGAGACTTATGTTGATCACAGACATGGATTCATCACAAGAAATTCCCCTCCACAACTCTCTGCACGGGTTAGTATCATTCTTCCAAGACGACAAGGTAGCTTGACTTTGGTCGTTAAAGCTATCCCTCCACTTCAACAGAGCTTGTGCTTCGCTATCTCCACCAGCGACAGATGCAAAGGAAGCGAAACAGAAGAATAAAGCCAGCAGCTTAGTGGAATCTCGTTCAGACATGGTTTTTTGGTAAACTTTTGAGTCAGGAATCTATTCAGGGACGGAACAGTGGTTCGGTGGTTGTAAATGGTGGGTATCTGATTCTTGGGATGCTCAAGATAATGTTACAGATCGTATGATAGTATGGATTATATAGGCCTTTAAGGCAATAATTTCTCATTATTAAATACTCCTCCGGTTCTAAATATAAGACCCTTACTCTCTGTTAGGAGTAATATTTTACAATAGACTTGCAAATATAATTGACCTCAAGAAATATTAGCTGCCCTTTTTTGCTTTCATATAAAGTAGACGATGATAAGGTTCTGTTAAAGTTATCCTTTGAAAAGCGCATAAACGGAATAAATTTCGATGCCAAGCCTAAGCCGGATGATGAGTGTCAAGAACTCGTTACAATTACCGTTTACCTCCAATTTCTTTTGCCATATACCGTTTACGTCTAATTTACATGAAACTGAATTTTATTTTTCACCTTCACATTTTTTAAAAATTATTTTAAAGTTCTCCTTTAATTAATTTTTACTACTTCCCCGCAAGAATTATGTCCCTGCTCCGTCCCTGTTACGTAATTTTCCCATAAATGGTGATTGTAACAACCTCTTGTATTGCCCACAAACGTTTATCGGCTAACAAAAGTTTGGAAAGACTTCTAGTACATGATAAGTCCTGTGATGCTCATCACTACAGTAAAATCTAAACCATTCAAAATCATTTTTAATAGCCTAGATTTAAAATTTTCAACTAGTAATTTTTAAATATGAAATTTACTTTTTAAAAAACTTATAGTTAAGATATTAGATTTATTTTGGATGATCTATTTATTAATTTTTTTTCAAAAAATAAGGATATTAAATATTAAATCTAGGCCCTTTATATTAAATTTAAATAATTAAGATTTAATAAGTATCATAATATTCATTGCTACCATAAGTATTGAAAATGGTCCTGCAGTTTGCCTATGTGCGTGCTTTTGATGTTGACGCATGTAGGACAGTGGCATCCCACTCATAATCCATTTACTCTCTCTCACCTTTTACAGAGAGAAAAGCGGATCCGGATCTTCTCAGCGGCCATTTTCCCCTTTTCTCTCAGAAGCTCAATATCCTACCCATCCAGTTGATCTAACAGCCTGCAAAGAGACACCACATGAAGCTTTTGAGAATCGCATCTGAACCATTCATCTTGATATAATCCTGGCCGTTCATTTAATTGCATATTCTGCTAAATCGCTTCAGAATTTAGAGTGCCATTTGCGGTCGAAGTTCCAAAACCTCCCGGGCAATGCGGACAGGAAGCTCCGTCGTCTCGTAACCCGTTGTTGGAAAATATGAGAGAATCTCCATCGCTTTGCTAAAAGTAGTTTATTCAAGCATCTACATTACACGTCTTCCTCTATATCTTCACTCTTCTTTTCCATCCCCCTCTTCCTCATTCTTGACGTTTGAATGGCCAAGTAAGCAGAGGTTCTTTCCAGAAAATTAGCAAGGTTATTGCATTTAAATTAGAATCTTTTGTCTGCTACTGTTAGAATCTAAGATGACCTGTGCTGCCATGGACTTATAAGCTAAGCAATTGTGCCAAGATTCTTTAAAGCATAATTTTTGTTCTAATTTTCACATTGAGTTTCTTTTTGGTTTGCATCATATGATAATTTTATGGAATTATTATATTCTTCATTTATTTCCCCCCATGATAAGCAATGTTGGTTTTGTATTGAGGAACATATATTCTAAATGAAGTTTGCAAAATTTCAATGAAGTCGATGTGTTGAATTTATATGGCAAAGTTGAGCAAAGTTACCACTTTTAGTTTAGATGGAAAACTTATGGTGGTGAATTATCCATTTTTCTTCCATCATTTTGGTGAAAGGAGGTCTTCTAGTTTTGTTTGCATCTCTCTATACTAATGGTATTAGCAGTCCCATGATTTCTCTGTTGTTCAACAAAATCAAATGCCATAATATATATTCTGACCTTTTAGTTGAGTTCTTAGTTGGCGCATCATGATTTTCCCCAGTTTTCTATGTACAATCAGTTAGAATCAATATATTAGTGATAGTGAATGCAATCTATAGATAACAACAATCATCCATCCATGACTTCGTCTTGCACAAATTTTGTGCACCTTCAATACCTCCTGTTCTTGTTTATGCAGCCATTTAAAGATATGATCGAAGAGACTAGGAATTGCAAACCAGTTAACCAACATACTCAGAGATGTTGCAGAGGAGTGAGTTTGAAGTTTTATTGCTTATCGCTTTTTTAAGTTCTTTTAAGAGTTGCTGTGTAAATATTTTTTCAGACCATAAAGTGTTCCCCCATGAGAGCTTTTGTGATGTTGCCACGGACAAAGTTACAGAAGTATAGATAGATTGATTCCAAATAATAATGACATACACATCTTCTAAACAAATTACGCGACCAAGTTTGCTGCAAAGCTACCTTTGGAACCAATTAAACAAAACATAACTTGCTCTTCCGTATTTAGTGAAATAGAATTTGATACATATTGAACTAGCTGTCATAATGAACAAAACAGAATTTGTTGTTCTGTGGAAGAAGATACAAGTTGCTGTCATGTCATACAAAATATCACCTGGTGGATTGAAGGATTGAAGTGTTGGAATTTTTTTTTATTGCAGGTGGTAGCTACATTATCTCTCGTGTTGACTAAATATTGTTGAGGCTATAGAAAATGGACTTTCAGGGCCTTCACCTGCTAGGAATTGATTAGACATTGTTGAAGTTGTTATGGAAGACGCACCTTCGCCTAACAAGAAGGAAGAAGTTAAAGAGCGACGTAGATGTTAGTGTAGAATCATAAAAAAGTTGTAATGCAATATATTAAATATAACAAAGCTGTCTTGTATATATGTAGTTTGCGCTCGACAAGTGTTTCATGTAATGCTGTAAATTTGGTTTTAAGATAGTTGATTCTTCTTCTAAACAATTGTACCAAAATTTGTACCTAAGAGTTTGAAAAATACATTTAGTCTCTTTACTTGTTACTTCACAGGCATCTTATTGTTCTCAAATAGACTTAAACTCTTGAGTTATCATAAGCTGAACATTTCAAGATGCGTAAGAATGAATCAATCATTTCACAATTCATGATGCTTTCTAAGCTATGTGTAAACGGTCAGTAGCATGAACACGTGCGTACATTTTGGTTGCTCTGTTGCAGTCAGCTTTGTAGACCAGGAAGGCTTGATCCTCGCAAAGCAAGGGGTCGCATATTGCTGTGCCAAAGAGGGAGAAGCCTAAGGCCTGTGGATAAGGGCGCAGAAGCAAAGCGTGTAGGCGCATTGAAAATGATTTTGCAAAACGATAAGCAATTGAACACACGTACAGCTGATGCTCAGGTCCTTGATAGTTCCAATATTCCTCTAGACGGAGGTTCGCATGAGGGTGAAACAGGTCAATACACGTATTTCGGCAAAAAGTAATTAACATAAATCTTTCTCATGAGACAATCCATTTGGAATTGCTCCGAAATAAATATTTTACAGTGACAGAGCTCCATTATTTCTCTATATACATATATATATAAAATGCAGGAAGCCACTTGCAGCAATGAATAATGCAAAAACATTCATACCAATAAGGCCAGCTCCAAGAGTTTCCGCATTCTCATCAAGGGGACCCAACGTGATTCTTCCCTCGATCCTTAAGGTTATAGATCGATTCATTCTCACACACTCTACATCCCCCAGTCATCAAGTATTGTAATTCTTAACATTTGGATTTTTAAAAAAAAAAAAATCTTTTACAGCCCGATGTAACAGCACCAGGTCAGGATATAGTTGCTGCTTATTCACCTGCTGCAAGCCCCACCAACCTCGATTCAGATGATCGTCACTTTAACTTCAATGCTTTATCCGGAACCTCAATGGCATGTCCTCATGCTGCCGGCATTGTTGGTCTTGTCAAAACTCGCCATCCTAATTGGAGTCCTGCCATGATCAAGTCGGCAATTATGACAACTGGTATGACATACATTAGCTAGTCTTCTTTCATGTTTACAATTTGATTCCTCTCTTTTCTAACAAGTATTAAAAAAAAAAAAAAACTATGTTGTTACAGCAAGCATACTGGATAACACCAATAGACTGATTGAGGACGAACAAGATGGTCGAGTAGCAACTCCGTTTCATTACGGCACAGGCTATGTCAAACCCAACATTGCAATAGACCCTGGACTTGTTTATGATCTCAAAACTTCTGATTACCTCAACTTGTTATGCTTTTCTGCGTATGAGGACAGAATAATTGAAGCTATCAACTACAATAGGCCATACAAATGTCCGAGGTCTTACAGACTAGAAGACTTCAACTACCCTTCTATCACATTGCCTTTTCTAGGTGTGAAACCTGTTAATGTTACTCGTATAGTAACAAATGTTGGGGCTCCGGGCACATATACTGTAAATGTCAAACCTCCAAGAGGATTTAAGGTTGTTGTTGTTCCGACAACTTTGACCTTTCAGAGGACAAACCAGAAGAAGAGCTATATGGTTATTTTGCAGGCAACACGTTTAGCCCAAACTTCAAAGCCTTCATTTGGAGAGTTGACATGGACAGATGGCAAGCATAGAGTGAGAAGTCCTATAGTAATCCCTCAACATGCAAAGATGGCTGTGTAGATTTCATCGTTGCCAGTCCACTGTACGTGTTTGAGTAATAATGTGCGATGCGGTAGTGTTAATTAGCGTATGCTCAGATGCGTGTGAATGTACTCATCTTTGTCATATGTTACAATAAAGAGAGGGGTCTACAATCTGTAGTAGGTCCTCTCGCAACTTTCTCAAATTCTGATTTTTTTTAATTTTAATTTTATATTTTTGCTATCTCCTTGAAACCAGTAGTCTTGAAAAATTTGTTGCTTTTCTAGAGAAAATGGATGCACGTGTATATTTCTGCAAGAAATCACACCAAACTTCAGACATCAAACCTTCATTCAACATCTAAAACTTGAGCGACAGAGATAGAGGCCTTGGAAATCAAGTTGCAAAAAGACCTATTTAACTATTTTGATTAATTTACTATAAAAGTGGCGTTTCTACATGTTTTACCACAGCCTTATGTAACTTCATGACATTCCGGAAAAAACTGTCGTCTTTTTTCTAGTTTTTTTGGCAGACATCTGTGGCGTATTGGATTTTAGATTTTTAGAACAAGTGCTTTCAGAACTCGACAAAGAAAGAAAACAACAAAAGAGAATTAGACTTTACAGCCCATTAACCTCAATTATGTCATCTCAGTTTGGAGAATATTCAAAAGGACTGAAAGAAATTAAATAGTGTCTAGTAATATTGGTTGGGCCGACTTTTGGAACGTAATATGAATAGAAAAACTCATGTTGGAAGAGCTTTTCAATAATTATGGAGCCATATGACTCTAATTTGGCTTGGTCGGTGATATCATATACACCACCTCCAGTCGTAATTATAAAATCTTGTTTGTAGTGTACAAACAATATCTTATAATTAGGACCAGAGGTTGTAATATGTCTACAACTGAGGTCTTATAATTAGAACAAGAGGCGGTATATAACATAATTTGTCAAAAAATAAAAAGAAATTAAATTATGTATGTTGATCATGCTAGTCGTATGACACTCAAATTAATCTTAAATTAACCCCTATATATTACAATAATCAACCTAGATCGATTCTCTATGCAATAGAGTCTATTTTAGTTTGGTTCCTAGATTAATTAAATGCAAATGAGCAATTAAAGGAAATAGAAGAACTAAGAAAATATTCCTCCGATCCTTCATATATAACATATTTAACTATTTTGATTAAATTAAGAAGGTTAGTTAAGTTAGCTAATAATCATGAATATGGTATATGTTTCCCAAAATTCCCTTAGTTAAAACTTCTTTAAAAAACTGACATTTCAAAAAATGTTTGAAATTATTTTATTAAAAATATAAAGCGCTAAAACTGATGTATGTGTGGAATTAATGAGTAATAAGTATTCTCTCACTTTATAAAATATACAGGTGTATTATTAATGAGTAATAAGTATTATTGTGGTATTTAATTATTTAATAGGAATAATTTAGAAAAAAAATTAGTAAATATGAGAAATAGGTCATATATTTTAAACCAAGACTAACCTTCTAATTAGGTCCTATATTAAGGACTAAAGGAGTTTTTTTTTTTGGGACCCTTTATGTTATAAATGATGAAAAGGAATTAAGAAAATAAGAAAAGAGGTAGCATAGGATGACTAGGCTTCTTGATCGCTTATATTTGACGTATAATATCTCTTATACTCTTTTATTTTATTTTATTTTTAATGTAAGGAGTACTTAATTAACCTGGATATATTAAAAAAATCAAATAAATTATTTAATTATAACAAATATGAAATGATCTTTCTAAATATTTTTTATGTAATATTAAATTATATATCATTTGTTAAGTTAGATAAATTAATTTGGGGGGGGGGAAATGATAATTACAAGAGATAAATTAGATTAAGAAGTTATAGTTAGGATCAAAATTAATTTCTTAATTAGCTCCTATATTTAAATCTGGAAGAGTATCACGTAGTTCCAGCTGTGCTTATAATCTTTTTGTTGAATAAAAGTGTTGTAATTTTAAGCGATCGAAATAAACAAGTAGCATTAGATATTTTGACAAGCAAAAAGGAAAAAAAAATTATAGGAAAGGAATTGATTATCAAAAAAGAAAATTAAAGGAAGGGAACTATGAATAGGACTTGACCCATGAGTCACTGACTCTCTGTGTATTTTGGTAGGCATAAGTATTTTGTTATTAGAGACAATCTTATTCGAGATACTGTCAGATACTAAATACGTGCACACCTCTCAGTAAGAATTTGATTATTAGTTTACCATGATGTGTCTGATTAGTTCATTCTGTTAGACCCAATGTCAATTGGTAACTCATTGTATATATGTCTTCCAACAAGAATAACTTTTGATGGTTGAGGCCAAGAAAGAAAAAGAGGAAAAAAATGACTTTCAGTCTATTAGTATATTATCACCACAAGCTGTACCTGCGAGCATATTTCGTTCTTCGTTCCACACCCAGAAAATTCCAAAGTTGGTTTGTTAGAAGGATTTTTTTTTTTTTAAATAATGGAAATGGAACAAGAAAGGGGACAGGAATGATGGGAAAGAAAAAGTGGTATGCGAAAGAGAGCAAGAAAGAGAATAGGAATGAGTTTTAAAATCATGTTTTTGATAGATGACAGTTAAAACTAATGAAATGAAATCTGTGTGTGTGTGTGTGTGTGTGTGTGTGTGTGTGTGACTTTTATATTGGACGTATGGATTAATTAAGCATGAAATTAAAAGGGAAGCCAGAAACATTGAACAGACTATAATGCCCTACTACAAAAGGAAGCAGATGGGAATCTGGCAGTTTCCTCTCCCTTTCCATTTCCAAAGAACAAATTCCTTCCAACCAAACAGGCCTCAATGATTTTCTTTTGCGAATTATATTTCTCTTTATTTTGTTTGATGTCAGAAGCTTTCACGACAAAATCACCTTTTTCTTCTTTTAATAGTGATAGGAGGAATCACGCTCGTCTAAAGGAAAATACAGGAATCACTTTTTTCTTTATTCCTTGAAAAACAAAGTATGCGCAGTGCAAAACTTTGGTTAAAGAGAAGGAACGGCTCAATCAAAATGACCCTTCTTTAATATGTTGACTATAAAAGGAGCTAGAACAAGAGCACATCGTGCAAAGCGAAGAATAATATCGTAATGAAAATATTAATTTAACTAAGTCCGTTACTAATTAATCCAATATTTGAATTAATGAAGATATATATATATATATATATAAGATGTTGTGCTGTCTCTCATGAAAAAGTAATATTCCGAAAATTCATAAATGATTATCCTTGGAATTTGTAGGAGACGATACATAAATTCATGAGACTACCTATTCACGATTATTGTAACTATGAAGTGTTAATCATTACTTGATTGAATCAACGTCAATAGTAAAATTTATAACAAATTGTATTATTTATAAATTTTAAATAATACTCCTTTGGTTCTATTTATAAGTCACTTTTAACATTTTTTACACAGACCAAGAAAAACCTTAAACTTCATTGACTCTATTTTAAAATTCAACAACTTTTCAACTTTAGCCCTATTTAATGCATATTATATCTTATTTAAATAAAGTTAACATAATAATAAATAGAGGGTAAAACTATATATCCGTACAAAAAATTTCTCTCAGTGCCCTGTAAATAGGACCAAAAAATATCTTCTTTCTTTGCCTTATAAATAGGATTAGAGGAGTACAACTCATTTTTTTAAACTCCTTGTTATATATAAGAAAATATTGGCCCTACGGCGAATGCTCTTCTAACATATTTTTCCCCCTTACCACTCACTGTAATCAATATTATTATACATTATTTAATTTCCTTCCTTTCTTTTGAATATTTCCCAAAGTGAGATGACATAAGTGTGTTTACTGACTTATAAAAGCTAATTTTTCTTTGATCTTTTGTCTCCAATTGTCGACATCTTTAAGCACTTCTTCTAATTAAAGGTGACCTCACTTTAGGGTCCTGTTTATCCTTTTAAAGCAATATAGTTTGCAAAATGAATATCTAAATGTCTAAAGGAAAGAAATACTGTGTTAAAAGGAGAGGGTTAGTTATATGGTCTTGGAGTACATATTCTCAACTTATTATCTCCAAAGAAGATTATTTTCCGCTGATCATTTTTAAGGAGTTGATTATATGCATGCATGTGTGTGTGTGTGCGCGCTACGTCCATATATGCTTAATATTTATAAATTCGTCATGTTTAACAAAAACTGAACAAAACAAGAAGGAAAAAAGATGTAAACAACACATTATTTGACTAACACTACAATTATAATTACAAAACAAAAGTGCAAGAAAGAAAACTTGAACATGTCCAATAATGATGGTTACATCTTCAGGTGATTGGAACAAACTACGAAGATATACATGATTCTTAGATATTGATAAAAATGTCAAAAGACGGGTTGTTATACTTCTTTACTTGCGGGTCTCCCCACTAAGCATATAATTATATATCCATTGTTACATACAATTCAATAATGGGGGATTTTACTGTAACACAGCCCTTCACTTTTGGAAGACTCACACTTCATTAAAAGAAATGAATGAAGGAGACAAGAAGCAAGTCATATATGAGTAATTAAAGCATATGTATGCATAATGCATTACTTTAGATAAAGAGAAAGAAGTGACTCAATCAATTGATGAGCTTATATATCCTAGGATTATAACTGAATGGGGAATAGTAAGAGCACATAGAATAAAGATGACAAGAATAACATAGTAACAAAGATAATAATATAACTGAGTCCATGATTTAGTGATCATCTTTAAACTAGGATGTTAAAATGTATTCACATGTGGAAAGTTTATTTCTTTTTGTTTGCCTTATCACTATAGCAATCAAATGCCACATGGAGGACAGAACTGATGGCTTATATAATTATTATGTGTGCATATGATCGTAATAACAATACATTTTGGTGGCCAATTTCAACATTTTCCTTCGTCATCGCAAAGTAAATATATAAAAGAATTGGAACAATCGCATAAAACCTATAGGTAGGACTCGCATAATGTGTGTTATGA